CCCATAAGGCCTTTCTCCTTAAGGGTGGGCTGGACCTAGTGACTTGCATTTAGTGATGAGAACATAGCTTACATGATACAATGTCACTCCTGTAATTAATTTAGACTATAATGGGATGTCCCTCTTCCGGGCACTCCCACTATTTTACTTAAGAAGCAAACAAACTGAGATTCTCAGTCCAAAAGCTCACAAGTAATTGCAACCTGCCAGCAACCATGTATGTGAGCATAGAAGTAGATGCTTCCTTTGTCAGGCCTTCAGGTGAGATCAGTACCTGGCAGCGTCTGATTACAGTTTGTGAGGAACCTAGACCCCAGGTGAACTGTGCCTGGATGCCCAACCCACAGGAACTGGGCTAATAACACATGTTTTCAAGCTGTTAGATTTGGGGAAAAGATGTTAACAGTGATTGACAAGTAATACAACCCATATGATATTTAGAAACTCCCTATCCAAATCTGGAAATAAAGTCAAAGCTTCAGAGAATGACCAGCTCGTTTTCTAGGCATCGTCCTGCATGTATTTATCTCCCTCTTGGACTTTGTGAGGAATAGTGACTAGCAAAGTGGCTGGAAACATAGTCAATCACTTTTGATCAAATAACACTTCTATCTAGCCCTGACCTTTGGCCTGATTTGGGCAGGCTATGTGCCAGGGTCACAGCAGTGGTGGGACAAAATCGACATCAGAGGAAGTGTGGTTTAATCACTGAGCTTCTAGACTCCAAACCTTTGTTGTTTGGGAAACCAGGATTTGGGAGTCAGCATTGCTTGTCTAGGAAGTGATGAGCAGAGGAATTCCATGTGGGTCAAAGCAGTTTCACATCAAAACAGTCCCAGATATTTGGCTTTAGGGCTTTCAGAGCCAGATCTGACAGGTGGCGCTAGCTGGGCTGTCCCAGATTTGGTCCCAGGTGTCTTGCCTTGCACTCCTTCCTGACTTCTCCTGCATCCGGGTTTTCTGTGTGGTTAGAAAAAGAACTATGACAGGGACATCATCTGAGAATTTCAGAATTCTGTCCTTATTGATTTGAAGCGCCCACACCATGATCTCTCAAGTTGGCTCGGTGACTTGATTGATAAGCCTGAACACTGGAATTGTGTCTGTAAACTGAGATTACAGAAACAAGTGAGGAGACTGATCTCTGATGATCTAGGTGACCTGACCCTGGAGCAATCCAGCATGTTCCCGGCAATTTCTCTTCCATCTATTTGACTTCTTTGATGCCCTCTAAGTTCATGAATAAATACAATGATGGATTATGTGGTAGTCACAAAATTGGCCACATATATATATATTTTTTGTCGCTGTACTCAACTGTCTTTGCAGAATGATTCTGTAAAAGGGGGGTCTCCAGGAAAAGGGGAAGTTCCAGGTTCCTTGCCCCAACCAGGAGGGTAGAGTCAAGCAGAGAAAAGAAGAGAAGAGAAGGAATCTGAAGAAGAAAGCAGCAGGATGGAGAGCCAGGAGATCTGAGGAAGCGACATGGAGCAGGGAGAATGTGATGAAGAAACCGTGCTTCTTTCTTGGCCCTGTGCTGGTTAACACAGATGTGGGTGAGAGGGCGGTGGGGAGGTGACTATGGCAGTGTTTATATTGTTTTTGATTTTGCTCTTTTCCTCCTGGACTTGTCTGGCCATGTGTGACCCTTTTCTATGGGTCCCAGCCAGAAGGTGCTTTAGTCTTGTGGCGGCCCACAGGCCTTGCTTTGGGCCAGTCCCTTTGGGGTAGACTTTTACCCACAAGGGGATGGGTAACTTCAGGTGTTTGATTTAGAAGTTATATTCTTTGCCTTCTTTGTATACTCAGTGTATTAAAGTTCCTTTCCATTATAGCTCTTATGTCTTGTCTTGATGCGACAGATGGAAGAACCTACTCTGAGCAGGAAGGTTTGCAGGTTCAGTGCCCCTCCTCCTGCCCGGTAACAACTCCACGGTGCCTCCCATCCTACAGGGGAATCTGTTTCTCCACTTCTTAACTTTGACTTATGGGAAAGCAGCAGACATAAGCAAAGGCTTGAAAAATACTGAGACCTGGGGATTTCCTTCTTGATGCTGCTACTTGAGTCCTTAAATCCCCCATATGAGGAACTCTGTGTTCTAGTCGGAACAATGGACAGCATGTGTTGCAAAAAGAAACCCTAACCCTAACCCTCACCTGTCTGTCAAACACCATGTTTATATATGAGGCCATCTATCACCTTTTGGCCTGATCTCTAGTTGATTGAAGGTACTAAGACAAATCCATCAAAAATAAGCTTAGAAGACCAAGCCAGAAAAGCCACTATTGTTAGTGCAGTAAATGTACTTTTTTTTTTTAAAGACTGAATGTTTTGAGGTGGCTTGCAATTCAGTATTAGGTGATTGAGGTAGACTTGTATTATGTATGTTTCCACCCACTCATCTTCTTCATAGATTTTGAGATGCTGAAGGCAAAGTAAATCAGCAGAAGGTCAAGTTTAGGCCTTTGCCTTAGGTAATGAGTTCGGCAATGTTACAGCAGGGGTTTCTGGGGTGCAAGTGCAGTGATAAATGAGTCCGTTCGCAGAAATGGTCTGTCTCTCACACATTTTTCTTATTTCAAGGAAAAGTTTATTTTTTTTTTGTTCAAAGAACAGTCTTAGTTCACCTGGAGCTACTCTTAGCTCCAGAGTGGCAGTTCATGATAATATGGTAGACAGTCCCCAAGTGGACACCCAGAGGGTCCTGCTTTCCCAGATTCTCACCTTGCATGCCCCCCTCCCCTTGACTGGGCTGGATCTATCGGCTTACTTGGGAAGAACAAAACACAGCACTGTGGATTTTGTTCTGGTGGATTTTTAGATCATGAAGGCAAAGTAAATCAGTAGAAGGTCAAGTAGAGGGAGGTCATTTTTGAGACTGGCTTCCTTCTGAGGGTACATGACTGGGTACCTGATCCATTTGCCCTGGGGGATCAACTGCCAGATCTAAAGACAGGCCCAGGGAGTTACTTATGTGGTGAGGAAGGAAGTTGCCAAAAATCATGTGAGGCAACTTGGAAGAGTCCTATCGCCCCTCCCCTGCCCTTCTTCCATCCCTACTGGAGTCTTCAGAGGTGACAACAGCTTGACTGAAACCCCATGAGAGGTATTCTACAAGCTAAGCCTCATCCTCATACCTGCCCAGTCTCTGTTGTTGTTACAAGGCTTTAGAGCCTTTTGTTACACAGAAATATATAACTTAGGTCTGTGCAAAGCACCTCATCCACCTCTCCTTCCCACCCCAGACACAGTAAGTTGGTTCAGAAATGTACACGTGACCAGACTGAGCCCATCAGAGTAGTAAACTGTTGAAGTAGTAGAGGCACTCACCCTTCTAGCTAGAGGAGACACCAGGACTTCTGCAGTCCTCTGGAAAGTTCTGGACTATCTTGTGGTTTCTATATCCCCAGCACCCTGAACTGCCTGGTTCAGAGAGGTGCCTCCTATCTATGAGATGGGTTATCCAAAAGAGAAGAAAACACCAGGAACTGGCATGAAAAGGAGAGGAACCTGCAGGAACAGCAGCTGACTCTTCTATACTACTATCTTAAATGAAACATGCCATTGAATAGCTATAGAAATCCGTATATTTTTGTTTTCTAAATGTAAGACACCAAACAGAATTTCTCCAAGTTTAAATTGACTTTACCCAATTTTAACTGGCAGCATTTCTAAAATTCTACAAAGAATGCACCAAGATCAATGGGGTCATCGTATCTGCTGACTGCTCTACTGACTGAGCATCTTCCAAAGAGGAAGGAGATGAATAAGCTCTGTGGAGTCATAATGTACTTGGGTGACAGTTTTGCTCTTTTCTGCTACCAAATGGTCTCAGCAGTTACAAAGGCATGTGCTATAGATGGGATTACTACATCTTTCAAAATGAAAATAGAAGCATGATTTCATTCAGAGAAGGTTCCAGGCTGACACCCAGTAATGTGCCACTCTGATCTCATAGAGAGTGGTGCTCCTTGTCATGCCAACAGGTTTGTTCTTTTTTAAAGATTTATTTATTTATGCATACAGAACTGGGGTAGAGGCCAGAGATGCGGAGGGTGAGAGGCTTCACCTGAGACAGAGTGGGGAGCAGAACAGGCCGACTGACGAAGTACACTGCTGAGGGGAGCAGCGGGCGGGTCAGGAGAGGTCTGCTGCGCCCTGTGGGTCACCTCTGGGGTAGGCGGGGTTCAAACTCATGCTGAAGTGGCTTTAGCTTCTTTGTGCAGTACTTTAACCAGCTGCACCACCAGGGAGGGCCCAGCCAACAGGTTTTTAAAGTGAGTTCCCTTCCTCTTCTGGCCTCTTTAGACAAATATGGCTGTGGAGAGAAAGGCAAATACCTTTTCTTTGGGGGGGAGGGCGGAGTTTGAAGGCAGATGATAAATTAGGAGTAACTACTTTTGCAAATTATAACATCTTCATAGATTAGAGAAAAATGGTGTCTTGTAATGACACCAGCCTCCTTGCTGACTTTTGTCATGACAGAAATGGAATTCTTGGGAAGTTTTTTGTGGTTGGGGATTTAATAGACATGAATCATACTGACTGGATGACTGAGCAGATTCCCTGATAATGGGCACAGAAAAGTAAGGAGCTCAGAGAAAATGTCATTTGCAAATGTTAGAAGTCTCAACTGCAAATGGCTCCAGCAGGCAGGAAAGTGGATGAAGAGTATAGTACAATAAGGGGTGGTGGTGACTGTGACAAAATGAGGGCACAGATTGCTTTCAAAGGAGACAACCATTTCTCAGTTCTGTTGATTTATTTCTACATGGGATTTAGGCGGAGTGTTGTCAGTCTTCCGATTTTTTCCCGAATGAGTCCTGAAGTCCAGACATTTACATAAAACATCCCATGTTGTGATGTTGACAATGATTTTGATTAAATAAAATTTCATGCATGTGAAACAAATTTTGTCTACTGGCTACCCTGGCCTAAGGCTTCCCAATCTGTCATCTCTAACACAGCCTATTTAAAAAGCAAACATATCAACGAAAGAGTTTGCATATATTAACTCAGTTTAATCATATCAATTCTTAAACAAAAAATTTCCTCCAAGAGACAATAGTTCACAGTAACTGCAAAGCTTACTCACAATTTTTAAAAATATCAGTCATGCTTAGCATTCAAAGAAGATATTGTAGAATAACTGTAAAAACTTTTACCAGGAACATCAGCTTCTGACTTTAAAAATTACAAATACTGAAGCATTTTGGTATCAGACACAGTAGTTTTGACATCGTCTGTTCATTTGATGAGTTTCTGGAAGTTTGGAAAATTGTACCTCTATAGTTGGATAAAGCGCTTACTCTAAACTAAACATTTTCAAATGTAGAAAACAAACTAGCAAGCTACACATACAAAGGAAAGCCCTCAAGGACAAGCTCCCCACATGTGGAACGCCAGCATATGCACCATGAATCCCGGAAGACTAAAACTGATACATATACTCGCCCGAAGTCTTGTACTCCAGGCTCAACAATGGAGTCTGCATTCACCTACACATTAATGACAAACTCTGGGTTAGTATAGGAGAAGCCAGCAAATTCATTTTGGTCCAAGTTCATGATGAAGAGTTTATCAGTAGGTGTGAGTTCCACAGGCTGTCTGGTGAACTCTTTGTCGAAGTTGGAGGTATCGCGCTTGTCTCTCTGCCAAATGGAAAGCAAACACATTAACACAGCATAACGAGGAAACACGACCGAGACATGCCAGTTAGTGGGAAGAGGAGGATGTCCCTTGGTCGGGTCGAAAAAAGCCCTGTGCTGAGTTGTTTTAGCAGCAGCATTGCACAATCTCTCACCTAACTCTCATTTCACATTGTTGTGTCACCATCAGGAAAGAAAAGCTGGTGGAAATGTTCTCAGAAAGGAAATGAGACATCGAATGTCTTTGAGGATTGTCATGGCATGATGTGCGTGTGTTTTCTTTGGCTCTGAGATGCATTGAGTAGGGAAGGACTTCTTACCTTCTATGCACAGTGTCATAGAATTAGTCACTGGGTAGAGTGCCCCAGAGAAACCCCCTCCCAGTAGTGACTCCTAGTGGCTAGGAGGCCGTTCACTTTAAAAAGGAGGACAGCAGCAAAGCCACTCAGTTACAGGGGGGGCAGGGTGTGGGGGTGGAGAAATCAGCTCACTGCTTAAACAAAGGAGGTGACTGACCACTATCCACCCCATATGTTCCAGGTACAGCCCAGGCTGCGAAGGGGTGCTCAGAAAGCCACCAACAGCTTGGCACTGGGGTCAGCATCTGCCAAAGTTTCTCTCCAAGATGCTTACAGCATGTGTCTAGTCAACAGACCAAAAAGAAATGAACCCTAAAACCTAAAGCCTAAAGGAAGGTCTGCAAGGGCAGCTTTAGAGCAAACAAGACCAAAATGGTATTAGTTAGCTAGGAGAGTTAGGTTGGCATTTCCTTTTCTGGGGGAGGAGCATGAACCCCAGTTTACTAACTATAGTCCAGGGCAACTTTTACCAGGGAATGTCACAGTGGGGTGAATGAAAGGCTCACACATACTTATGTTCACTTCTTCAGGGATCTCATCAGCCTATTACCTCTTCCCAGCCCCATCAGCCACCTGGGGTGCTAGCAGGATTAGTGTCTTTACCCCCCCTCCACCCCACAGTTTGGAAAATGAGGAAACTGAGGTACAGGAAGGTAATGTGACTTGCCCAAGGTTGCAGGGTGGATTGGGCTTATTATCTGATCTAGTGCCTCATCTCAGCCCCTCTGACTAAAGGGGCAGTCTCAAGGCTGGTTTATGCCAGGACAACCAAGGAGAACACGTGGGTCTCATTGGTCACAGGCAGGATGCCTGGCAGAAGCCCAGGCCATGTCAGATCATAAAGAGCGGAGGGCCAGTGAGGGCTGGCGACTCGCTCGAGTCATGCCAAACCATCAGTTCTTTAGGCCAGCTCCAATGGACACTGACTGATACGGGACACTGAAAAGGATTTCTCGGTGCTGAGTTCATGCCCAGTTGTTAAAAAACAAAACAAAGAATTCCATTTGGCTGCTCCCCTGACAAGTGCACAATGTCCCCACGGAGTTCCCATTTACTCATGAGGTGCGTAGGGAGTGCAGGAGCGTAGGGCCCTCAGGGACACACTTCAGGGTGGCCAGATAGGAGGGCGGCAGACACTGCAGGAGCTGCTTTCTGGATGGTGGGCCAGCGGCCACATCCCACCCTTTCTGCTTTGCCTCATCCTGCTCCTTGTCAGTCTGTCACGTGCCATCCCAGGCAATGAAGGTGTGGCTTCGGTGTCCAGAGCAGCACAAATGCCTCCCCACCCCACTAACATGGCCTTGCAGCCCTCTCCTGGCTCCACAAGCCATCCTTCAGCATCCTTGTTATTGTCTTCTTTGTGCTTGCTGCTATCAGTTTATCGCTGGCTCTCTCCAGGAGAACAGGGTCTTTGGCTATTTCTTCACGACTGTATTTTCAGTGCTAGGAACAGCGGTGAGCATTCAGCAGGGAGTCCACAATTACTTGCGAATGAATGAATCACTAAGTGAATACCTGACGAAAGATAGCTGCTTCACTTTTCCAACTTAAGCTGTCCCCAAGCCAGAGGCCTCAGAGAGACCTCACTCTATAGCAGAACAATGGGACTAATGGGCACCGATCCTAAGGGCCTCTCACAAGAACAGCTAGCTGCCCCTGCCCATTTTGATTCTCAATATGGAGGGAACTGTTAGGTCTGAGGGTCCAAGGCTGTACGTGGATTCTGGGGCTGAGAGGGTGAAGTGCTGCTTCCTTGTAGCATCATCGACCTCCTGTAGCTCACTCTGCCTCTGATTTATCTAGCCAAGACCCCTTTCCCACCAGCTCCAACTTTGGACGTCCTTCCCCATTTTTGTGCTGGTGAGGGACAAGTCGTGCTTGAAATCGTCCCACAGCCCAAACAGGGCTTGTCATTGCGAACTTGGTCCTGCCGCAGGACCCACAGCAGACAGCCCTGAACGTTCTCTTATAAGTGGGAGAGATTGGGCTCTGTTGGGACAGCTGCTTTTTCTTGGGTTAATAGCATCTGAAGTCATGGGAGACTAGCAGCACTCATCCAAAGGGGAGGGTGTCCATTCCATCGGCCTCCTATTGATGCCCCAAGGTCATCAGGATCACAGCCTTTATGTTTTCACAGGAGAGGGGCAAGTCAATGAGAGGGCTCAGCAAGAAAGGTAGGCTTCCCGGTAGACCATGGTAACAGGGACCGTGTTTAAGTTGCTTTGCATTTTCTTTTTCAGTTTCTCTTTTAAAACTTCTCCTCTAATTTAAGTTTATTTGGAGAGTTCAACTTTTCCCAACAGCGGAGAAAAGCCAGACTGTGTTACGTGGGACTGGAGAGGGAGGGGAGCGGTGTGCTAGGAGAGCAGTGTCTCCTTGGGGATCAGGAAGGGTCATGCTTGTAGAACTCCAAGAGATAGAGAATTCCAAGAGGCAAGAGTTAGGACTCAGAACCAAGCTGCACAACTGGCTGCCCTTCGCTGAGTAGGTCTCTGTCTCTCTACATGTCTTGGTGACTGTGGTCTGCTCCAGCACGGAACTGCCTTGGCCTTCGAGAAGGAGACGGAACCAGCTGCCATCCAACCTGCTGCTCTCCCTCCCCAACCATCAACCTGTATACAACTGTCTCGGAAATCCAGGTCAGGAGGGCTCAACTGCTCCTTCTCCTTCAGCTTCCTTCAGTCTACAGAGAGTAAAAGAACGCCAAAGAAACTTTCCCAAATGAATTCCAATGCTAATTATTTCTGGCTCACACCGTGCTGTTACGTCTTGTTTCATGGCTGTTTCATGACTGGGCTGCAAATCTAGGCTGGTGCAGTGGCTCTTGCACCAGGCATAGAGCCTGGCATACAATAGGTGCTCAGTACAGCCCAATGCTGGTTGGATGAATGGAGGGTGAACTACATAGATGATTTAAAAAATAACCAAAAGGTCCTTCTTCCCAGAGGTTATGTACATCAAAAGCTGTTTCTCAGTCTCCTTGTACTTGAACTGACGATGGAAAGGGAAACTGCAGAAACTCTTACTCATGATCCCTCACTCCACACAAGGCTTCCCTGACCAGTCCTCAGCAAGGTGTGTGTGTGGGGGGGGACAGAGACTTTGGCTTAAGTACCTATTTCTGCAAACTATTAAAGTTTTGAAAAATTATGGCAGCAATTTGGCAAATGTAGGGTGCAGTAGATATGTACAGTGTATCATCTATCTATCTATCTATCTATCTATCTATCTATCTATCTATCTATCTATCTATCTTCTATTTATCATACATTGTTCTCTAAAGTTGTCTCAACTCATCTTTCAAGGCCCACTGTTACTCCATGGTTTTCATCTTCCTGAAAGCACATCCAAGGAAAGGTCTGGTAACCCAACAGCCAGTGGAAGCACCTCAAGTAACTCGCCTGTGGGTGGGCCTGGCTCAGAGATGGCCACCACGGGCCGGGGAGCCAGGGCTGAGGGCTGGCACCCCATGGGCTGACCTTGGGCAAGTCACTTCCCCTCATCAGGTGCCAGTTTCCCTAACCACGAGGTGAGGGGCTTCGCCCTGCTCCCCTTGCCTATCTAGCCTCCTAGGCCTGTCCGCTGGATGTCAAGTGTGTACCCTCTCAGGTCTAGGCTGCTGTCACAATGGCGACAGCGATGGTCCCAAAGCCGGTAGCAGGGAGAAGGCAGAGGGCAGAAAGGAAAGAAGGCCAGGGGCCTCTGCAAGACAGAAACCCAAGCCATGACTTTCTTAAAGATGAGCGGTCTTACTTTAAGGACAACTGTCACGTTCTTAAAGTTCCCTTGATGGTTCTTGGAAGCCTGGAGCTTCCTGAAATCACTCCACTTGTGATAAGAAGGCTCCAGGGCTGCCCAGAAGAGCGGGAAGGAGGGGGCCTTGCCCTTGCCTGCTCAGAGGAACAAAAGGAGATTCCTCCCACCTAGGGGTTTGCTTCTCTCCTGGGGCTCTAGGAGGCGGCTCCCCGGACAGTGTTTAGTGCAAGCTGAGAGGAGTGGCAATGTTGAAAAGGAATGAAAGAGCCATGCCTGTGTTTCTAGCTGATCCCTTGCCTTGACCCCGGAGGGCATGTGGCATCAAGGTCGGAGATGGCTCAGCCCCCCCAGCTCATCCCACCCCAGGACAGACCACCAGGGGGACCGAGGGGTTCAGGTCCCACCCAGCCTTGTTGGCTGCTGAGCCCCGGGGCCAACATTAAGCTCTGTGTTTAGTTCCTTTTGTCCTGAAGCCTCCAGAGGCCCCACTTTGTAGTTTGGGTCCACATTTTTCAAAGAGAGCCGTTTTCCTTGAAATAGCATTTCTTCTTCTTTCTTTTTTTTTTTTTATTGTCTCTTGGTGCTAGAAGAAAAATGGCACATAACATATATCCATACAAATGAACATTTCCACAAACATCTTGCAAAACAACATCACAGTGAAGAATACAACCGTGTATGTTCTAAGAAATGGTGTCTTTCTCCGAGCACTCAAATAGCTTTCCAAAGCTAGCCACATACCTCACCCTGGCCCGACCGACGGGCATGGGGCGGTAGGCGCCATCTCTTCTTGGTAAATCAAGGTCACTGTGGTTAACAACATAGGGACACATTTTCAAAGCATGTGTAACAACATGGTTTTCTCTTTCTCTCTCTCTCTCTCTTTTTTTTTTTTTTTTTTTGCATTTGAACAACAGAAATAAAACCCCAAAGCAAATTAAAGTTTGAAATGTTAATGTAAAACCACGGTCCTTTCGGACCTCCCTAGAGTGACCATGTGTTTTCAGAGGGGCCAAATGCCATCTGCACATAGTTTGAGGATGGAGGTGGCCAGGCAGCACTGAGCCCACCCAAGCTGGTTGCCTTTTGGCCTTGTGAAGAGCTTTCAGTTTGAACTGGTTAAAAGCTCACTCTTGGAATTTATAAAGGGCTTAGATAATCTCCTTCGTTTTGAGTTTTTTAAAAGAATTTTGAATAAAATCTTATTTTTAGTATGTTCTTTTCAAGTCTCACGGTGCCTCCAAACTGGGCACCATAGGGGAATTCCCTGCAAGTCAAAGCAAGCACATCCTTGGGCACAAGCCAGGCACTGGGTCAGGAAGTGGAGAAACGCTGCTAGCAGCTGGCTATCTACTCATCTGGTAGGAAGAATCTACAGTGGCTCGTGGGAGTGAGAAAAATGTGTAAAAATGGCAGTGCAGGGGGAAAAAAGGGAAAGAAGCAGGCATTTTCTGTCCCGGCTGATCTATGGAGCTGACATGCTGGGGCAATGAAATTTTTTGAAGACTCTGAGAATGTGCTCATGATGCAGCCGCGTTGTTGACAAGCCATGTGCGTCGTCTCATCTCATAGAGATGCACCAAACTACCTGAGGACATTTGGGTTCTGAAACATGGTCACTCTAGTCTCATCAGCAAAGGAAACATGGATGCAACTTTGCAATGAAAACAAAAAGTCACCACAACAGCCGTTGAGCTTGAATGACAGAAATGAAGGACGGAGATCTATACATCTACTTAGCTCTTGACTTCAGGTTTTAAAAATTCAGAGTTAACAAAGGAAAATCCTTCGAATTCTGATTGGTCAATATTCCTGATGACTTCCTGGTCAGGAGGTGTTAGGACTGGTGGATGGCGGGTGAAAAATCGGTCGAAGTTTTCAGCATTTCGCCCACACTATGAGAGGGGAAGAAAAGAACTTGTGGTGGGTGGAAAACAAAACAAAACAAAATCAGAACCAAAACAAAACAGAACCAAACAAAACTGGGCATGGTTTCCTCCAATCCCTTCCTTGCCACTACCTCAGTGAGGCTGTTTCAATGATCAGAAATGAGAGCAACAGAAAATGCAAAATCCTCATGACCTTTGGCACATGACTTTGGGTTCCCGACTTCTGGTTCCTGTAACCAGGGAGCTGCCCCTGACATCCTCTGGGCAGTCGGGAGCTACATGGCAAAGGCATGAGATGGTGGGGCTGGTGGCATGTGCATGTTCCTACACCCCTAACTCACCCGCGGAGTCCCCAGGCTCCTCTGTCGGAAGAGGTGGTGTTCAGGAGCCTGAGTGTTTCCATGTTAAGGTGCAAGGTAATGACCTGTTTATACCTCACCTGGATGGGGAGACCGCAACCTAGCAGATCCCCCCAAGTGCTGTCCTCTGGCTCTCCATCAGGCACCACTGATGTCCTCCAACTCAGGGAATTTACAAACACATCCACCAAGAGCAATCCCAAGACCCAAGTCTGGTGTCCACGACGCCTGGGCAGCCAGAGCCCAGAACCACAGCCTTGTCAGTCTCGGTCCCTTAATGACACTGTGCCAGGATGTCTCTCTCCAGATGGGAAGGAGGGGCGTGTGGTGACACACGTCACCAGTGCTGGGGGAGTCCATGGGCCCCAGAGAGACAAGCATCGCTTTCCCTCACCCATCCCGCAGTTCTTCTACAGAGAAGGTCCTGGTCTGAAGCAGAGTTTGTAACACGGATGCGCGTGGGTAGGCGTGTACTCCCGTGCGTGAGAGCACACACAAACGTACACACTAGTTCCCACCTAAGGGACACATCACTAAATCTGGCTTTCGTGGCTCTTTGTTCTTCACCAGCAAAAGCCATTTGGCCAAAAGTTCCCAGTATCTCCAACACTGTCTATGGGTGGTAACGCAACCTAATAATATAGTAGCGGCAGAGTAGTAAAAATAATAATTACGACAGTGAACATTCATTATGCGCTTGCTATATGCCAGGCACCCTGGAATGCTCTTCACTTGCTTTATCTTATTTAATCCTCCCAATGACCCCATCAAGTGGGTTTTATCATCATCCCTAGGGATAGATGAGGCAATCGAGGCCAGGGAGACTGTGCAACTCGCTCAAGGTCATACAGCTAATGACAGCAGAGCTACAGTGGAAGCCAGGTCTTGACGTCAGAGCCCAAGCTCCTGGCTCCACTTTCGAGAACCGTGGATGAGCTGGTGAGTGACTGAGTAATAGCAGGGCAGGGGTGAGGAGGGAGAAGGCATGGATGGGGATGATGAGGTCTGTGATTTGCATGGTGGAGCATGTGGTTATATATCAATCACTGAGATAAAGAAAGGGGGAGTCATCAAAAAGATGACTCCGTTTTGGACAAGAAGATGTAGAAAAAGAAATTTAAAGGACAGTGTGTGGATGGTGGGGAAAAGTAAGAGTGATAACAATGAACACTGACCACCATGTACAGCTAGTATCTGCAAGCTGTTGCACAAAACAGTATCCTCTTCATGTCCATAAGAACCTTGTGAGACAGATACTTGATTCTGCCTTGCCAGTGAGAAAACAGCCCCTACACTGTAGGGAGGAGCTGGGGGCCAGGAGAGAGCAGCAGTGGCTGGCTGGGGACTGCAGGACTCCCAGGGGAAGGGCATTGCTGGAGCTGAAATAGCTCCAAGAGGTGAAGCAGGAAAGTCGCTGAAAATGGGCCATTGCACTTGGCAATTAGGAGGAAACTAATGAGAAAATGTAAGACAGTTGATGAACCTGAGTTGCTGGGAGACGGAAGGAAAGTTGAGAAAAGCAAGGTTGCTTGCTCTCCTTCCCAGCCTATGGCCAACGGAAGCAGAGTTACTTCCCTTGGAAGGATTCCAGTGCCACGCACACCCGTGATCTAACCCTCCTACTCAGGTAGATGAAGCCCCTGGGGCTGGTGCTGCAGGTGTGGGCTTGAGTCCCAGTGCAGCTGCCCACTAGCTGTGCAGCATTAGGGGAAGCTGCTAACGCCCCAGTTTCCTCTTTTGTGAATGGGGTATGATTCTCATTCCTGTGTGGTCGTGTGTGATAAATTAGGACTCAGCATGTATCTGGTCCAGTGCCTGGCACTGAGTAAAATGCTCAACACTTCTGAGCTGGAGAGATCATTTGATCCTCCTTTTCCACTACAAATCCCTCCAGCCAGCATTGTTTCCTATGATGCTATTTTCACATTGCTTAAGCTTGAAATATTGAGGAAACTGCCTTGCATTTTTAAAAGACTTAAATACATTGTTATTCCAAGCCAAATGGCTTTGGCTGTCTTGATAAATTGACTTCAGGTCTCAGAATATAAGAAATCCACACCCCCTGTCACACAATCACAACTTGGGGTCCAACAGATGAACTGTTGGTCAGTGGGGGTACACCCCCACCCCGGAGCATGGACCCTCAGCGAATGCACTGTGGTCAGGATGACTGCCACATTCTTTCATCGCTTAATCATTCTCTCATTCAAGAAGTATTTAGTGAATAGCTGCTGTGTGCCAGGTCCTGTGTGAGTAGTTAGAGACACAAAACCCATGCCTTGTGGAGTCTGAATTACTGGGAAGAGAAACAACAAGCCAGTACATAAACATGTAACTCTAAATATCAGGATATATTTCAATGCTGAATGGGGATAAATGACATTAAGAAAGATAAAGCCAGGTCAGGGATACAAGGGAGGGGATGCCTTCTTGGTAAGGTTCTGGGAAACGACCTCTGAGCGAGCCACCAGCAAAGGGAGGGAGAGAGCCCCTGGTATGTCGGGAGGAAAGACTTCTAGGCAGAGTGAAGTGCAAGTGCAAAGGCCCTGAGGCAGGAGCTTGCTTGATGGGGTCCCCAAATAGCAAGAAGGCCAGTGTTGCCAGAGCAGAGTGACTGAGGGGGAAAGGCATTGCCCGATTGTGCTAACCACATAAGGAGAGAGGACTTTCATCTCAGCTGAATGGAAGCTGCCTGAGAATTCTGGGCACTGGCATGCCTTGACTATGCCTAAGCATGACCACTGGTGCTGGGTATAACACCCCGACGGGCGGGGCACTGATGGAAACAGGGAGGCCGGTTAGGAGGATGCGCAATAATCCAGACAAAAGGTGGTGGTGGCTTGGAGGATGATATCAGGAGGGTGCATTTAGATTGGGGGTATATTTTGAACACAAATTTGACAAGTTTTGCTGCTGCTAGATATGAGATGGGATGCAAAGGAAATGAGCCCTTCTTGGTGACTCCAAGGCTTTTGACCTGAGTTCTCTGGTGAGCGGGGGCCTTTTGGAGTCAAATTTTTTGTGTGTGTGTGGGAAGTGGGGAGACAGGGAACCAAGCATTTGGTTTCCTTAGTAATTTTGAGATTGCAGTGGAAATGTCCAAAATTGGAAAGTCTCCTGGTTTGGGTGGGGGTCCGAGAGCGGAAGCTACACTGGTGACAGGGCCAGAGGTGGGTACAGAGGTGGTGGGCAGGGAGGTTGGAGCTGGGAAACAGATGGGGTGCTAGTCAGCTGGGTAAGGTGACTATGAAATCAGGCACACCTGAGGGTGTTTCTCTTTGACCTGGGTGTGAGGCCCCAGACCAGATAGTGTAGAAGCACGCTAGCTGAGACAGTCTCCAGGGGCTAGTTTGCTTTAAAAACCATCCATTTCCCATCCACACCAGACAGCTACAGCCTCACCGGGGCCTCCCCGGAGGCTGTGACGGGAGACAGAGAAACAGCTTCCGGCAGCTCGCAGCCTGGTCTCCCGATACTCCCTCCTGCTGCCGGAGAACAATGAAATCTTTAAGTGAGATAGCAGAGAGGAGAGGCAAGAAGAGGGGTTAACTAAGGGGGCATAAGCAGCGGGAGCGTGATTTCCCTGCTAATAAGCAGCTTGGGGGCTGGCAGCTCACAGCCTCCTGAAGTGTCTCCGTGTTTTTCAAATAGAGCTGTCGCTGCCCGTTAGCTTGGGAGCGCTCCCGAGATGGAGCTGTCGGCCCTGGGGTGCCAGCATCCCATCAGTGGGCGCCTGAGGTGTCCCTGCAGACTCAGCGACTACCCCTGCTTCCCTGGCCGACCTGGGCGGCTTCTTCAGCCTCATTTAGCTACTAAAAAGACAACGCAACCCCCCCATTATCCGGAAACATCAGCTGGGTGTCCACAACAGGACAGGGCCCAATCGACTCGGCTGCTTAAGTCCAAGGCATTTCTTCAGCGCTGGGAGGGGTGTAAGACTTCGCTTTTCCATTGTGCCTTGGATTTAAGAGCCCACACAGTTTGAAAAGCTTTTCCTTCTCATTGTCTTCTTCTGAGTTTCGCTGTCATGTGTTAATAACAGCTCGGAGTCTAGCTGTCGAATGTGGTGCTGGCTCAGATGCAGAAGCTACGGGATCGTTCAAAGACACCAGCCTGGACAAGTCACTTCCCTGTTCTTATCAGCCGTGGCTCCCCGCCACCCAGAGCTCACACACCTTGGCAGGTCTTACAGGGCGATTTAGAACCTGGCCCTCGTCACGTGCTCAGCAGCACCCTCGCGGCCCAGGTCCCCAAAACCCCCCTCCAGCTGCACTGAAACCCACCCCCGCCCCCGTTCCTAGAACACACGTGCTCTCTCACCTCCAAGCCCTTGCCCAGGCAGTCTGCTCCACGGGGAACACCTGCCTCTCGCCCCTCCTGCCTTCACCTGGCCATCTCCTACGCATCCTTTCTGCCTCCAGACAGGTGTCGCTTCCTCCACCCAGGACATCTTTTCCCAGCCCGTCCCCCTCCTCTACACTGCTGAGCTCAGCCCATGAAGATGCAAGATGTTTATCAAAGAATTGTTAGAGGAGGAAAATATTAATATCAACTCTCGACCGGCAGGGAAAACAGCAAAATAAATAATGATACATCTATTTGGTGATCACCATGCAAGGCACTTGCAAAAATTAAAAGAAGATGTAG